GTTTGTGATATTTTATTATAGCAGCCCTAGCAAACTAATACAGTTGTCCTATACACTAATACTATACACATTCTAAAGAAAGGTTTGGGGCTTCCCTGGTGGGGCAGTGGTTGAGAGTCCACCTGCCGATGCAGGGGACACGGGTTCGTGCCCCGGTCCAGGAGGATCCCACAACCACGGAGCGGCTGGGCCCCTGAGCCATGGCGGCTGAGCCTGCGCATCCGGAGCCTGTGCTCTGGAACGGGAGAGGCCACAACAGTGAGAGGCCCGCGTACTGCAAAAAAATAATAATAATAAAAAAAATAATAATAAAAGAAAGGTTTGCCCTTTGCCTAGTTCCAAGGATAGAGTCTCAAAGTCTTGGGAATATCCTGTTAAGAGTGTCTTTTTATAGACCCCGAATAGCCAAAGCAGTCTTGAGGGAAAAAAACAGAGCTGGAGGAATCAGACTCCCTGACTTCAGACTATATTACAAAGCTACAGTAATCAAGACAATATGGTACTGGCACAAAAACAGAAACATAGATCAATGGAACAAGATAGAAAGCCCAGAGATAAACCCACGCACCTATGGTCAACTAATCTATGACAAAGGAGGCAAAGATATACAATGGAGAAAAGACAGTCTCTTCAATAAGTGGTGGTGGGAAAACTGGACAGCTACATGTAAAAGAATGAAATTAGAACATTCCCTAACACCATACACAAAAATAAACTCAAAATGGATTAGAGACCTAAATGTAAGACCGGACACTATAGAACTCTTGGAGGAAAACACAGAAAGAACACTCTTTGACATAAACCACAGCAAGATCTTTTTTGATCCACCTCCTAGAGTAATGGAAATAAAAACAAAAATAAACAAATGGGACCTAATGAAACTTCAAAGCACAAGACGAAAAGACAACCCTCAGAATGGGAGAAAATATTTGCAAACGAATCAATGGACAAAGGACTAATCCCCAAAATATATAAACAGCTCATGCAGCTCAATATTAAAGAAACAAACAACCCAATCCAAAAATGGGCAGAAGAATTAAATAGACATTTCTCCAAAGACATACAGATGGCCAAGAAGCACATGAAAAGCTGCTCAACATCACTAATTATTAGAGAAATGCAAATCAAAACTACAATGAGGTATCACCTCACACCAGTTAGAATGGGCATCATCAGAAAATCTACAAACAACAAATGCTGGAGAGGGTGTGGAGAAAAGGGAACCCTCTTGCACTGTTGGTGGGAATGTAAATTGATATAGCCACTATGGAGAACAGTATGGAGGTTCCTTAAAAAACTAAAAATAGAATTACCATATGATCCATCAATCCCACTACTGGGCATATATCCAGAGAAAACCATAATTCAAAAAGACACATGCACCCAAATGTTCATTGCAGCACTATTTACAATAGCCAGGTCATGGAAGCAACCTAAATGCCCATCGACAGATGAATGGATAAAGAAGTTGTGGTACATATATACAATGGAATATTACTCAGCCATAAAAAGGAACGAAATTGAGTCATTAAGAAATTAAGTCATTGAGACGTGGATGGACCTAGAGACTGTCATACAGAGTGAAGTAAGTCAGAAAGAGAAAAATAAATATCATATATTAACACATGTATGTGGAACCTAGAAAAATGGTACAGATGAACCAGTTTGCAGGGCAGAAGTTGAGACACAGATGTAGAGAACAAACGTATGGACATCAAGGGGGGAAAACTGCAGTGGGATGTGGATGGTGGTGTGCTGAATTGGGCGATTGGGAATGACATGTATACACTGATGTGTATAAAATTGATGACTAGTAAGAACCTGCAGTATAAAAAAACAAACAAAAAAAAAACCAACTAATACTAAACTTTCTTTGGGTTATTTGTATGGAAATATGTTAATATAAATGTTTCAGACATTACATGAAATGTCTAAAAATCTTATATGTTCTGGTATAATGTTATAAGTCATAATTCTAGTTATTACTTTAAAATGTATATCTCAGAAATAACTAAATTTCCTTGTCAATTGCCTTATTATGAACTTTCATCAAATCTTTAACCGTGGTCATTTTTAAGTCTTCTGTCATTTACAGACAGTTCTGGGTGTACTCTGATGCTTTTGCAAAAATGTTCCTATAAAAGGGTTTCATCTTCAAGGAATTCATGGAAAAGACTCTGACAAGTACAGGTTTCTGGTAACTGACCATACTGATGAACTGAATGAATAAGCATTTTCAGAACTCTGATGGAAAACTGATGAATTCATAAAAGTGCTAACAAAAGATCAAGATGAAAAAAAAATTAATTACATGGGACTGAGTGAACTGATGAGGATGATTATAATTTTTGTGACTTTCTGTTTGAATAAAAATAATAATAATAATTTAAAAAAATAAAATAAAATAAATCCCACAAGGGCTCAGAGGCAAAAAATATACAAATCAATTTTCACTGCAAAGTAAAGGACCTGATACAGTGGAGGATTACTGGACTGAATGTCAATATTATGACATAGTATGAGTGTGTTTCGTGTTTGGTAATTGCAATCATTGTTGCTTTTGTTGTGGTCATCCATTTACAATGCTTGGTGTCAGTTTATTTATCTCTTGTAAAAATAAAATACAGTGTGTGTGTGTGTGTGTGTGTGTGTGTGTGTGAAAAAAAAAAAGAGTGTCTGTTTTTACCTGTGGCCTCGAGGCCATACCAGATAGTTTATGCTAACAATGTGATTGATTTATGGTGGGGGGCCACGGACTTAACTTCTAGAGGGGCTGAGTAAATTAAATTCACATTTAATTAGTTCCTATCCTACACAGCTTTAGTATAGTACAAAATAATTATCAGCCATTATATATATTATATATATAAAATAGTGGTAAGATATACATAACAGAAAATTTACTGTTTTAACCATTTTAAAGTGTTAATTCATGGCATCAAGCAAATTCACAGTGCTGTGCAACTAACACCATTATTCACCTCCAGTATATTTTATCATCCCAAACACAAAATCTGTACCCATTAAACAACTCCTCATTCTCCCCTCCCTCCAGACCCTGGAAACCAGTGTTCTCTCTGTCTCTATAAATTTGTTCTAGGTACCTCATACAAGAGGAGTCATACAATATTTATCCTTTTGTGTCAGGCTTCTTTCACTTAGCACGTTTTCAAGGTTCTTCCATGCTGTGGCATGTACCAAAATTTCATTCCTCTATATGGCTAATATTCAATTACATGTATATACCATACTTTTCTATCCATTCATCTGTTGATGGACATGAGTTGTTTATGCCTTTTGGCTACTGTGAATAAACAATTTTTTAATGAAACTGAATTGTAGCAAAAATGACTGCTTTTATAACTCCATTTCCTTTCCCACTTTAATGTAAATAATCTTAAGGTATGCAGTTTCAAAGACAACAAAATGCATCTCTAAGTGACTAAACTGTATAACAGAAATACATGATTCCTTACAATATCCATGCTGCTTTAAATTACAAATCTCTTTGTTAGGTTATTAATGGTGCCTTGTGGAAGAAACTGATATGATGAAACACCAACATGCTCCTAAGGACATAAGAAAAAGAACAATACTACTAAAATAAATGCAGGTTCCAAACCTAAGAGTGACTGGAAGAAAGCGAAGCCATATTCTAACACAAAATCAAACAAAAACAAGAAAAAAATAGTATCATATCCTGACGTTTGTTAAATAAAAGTATAATAGAGATATCCTTTTAGTTACGAAAAAAAAAAGTATCTTCAAAGGTAATTCATAATAAAAAGTGATGGACCTTTTCAAATGTCAACCTTCATAGTAGGTTCATCACAGAATAGTCTTGACTCAAGTCCCACAACTCAGAGAAAAATCCCAAAGACAATCAAACATAGATAAAATAAATGAAAAAACAATTCTAAGGTGTAGTTTAGGATGGTAAAGGAAATATTTTAAGAAGTACATTTTGGTTGCAGCATGTCAAAGAAGTGAATGAGAAAACAGCATCTGAACATTTCAAATTCTTTAAAAGTAGTAAGTTAGGATCATTGAAAAGATAACCAGATCTATTAAAAGAGTAACAGAAAACAAAAATATAGATTTGGCTAAAGCAGTAGGGATATAAAAGCAAATTTTAATATTTCGAACAGGTAATATATTCATATGTTCAAATTTCAGATAAACAGAAAATGTTATATAATTTTAAAGTCTCGTATATACCCCAAAGAATTGAAAGCAGGGTCTTGAAGAAGAGATATTTATACACCCATGTTTATAGCAGCATTATTCACAGTAGTCAAAAGGTGGAAACAATCCAAATGTCCATCAGCAACTCACAGATAAACAAAATGTGGTCTATACACACATGCTGTAACATGGATGAACCTTAAGGACATTATGCTAAGTTTATAAAACAAGCCAATCACACAAAAAAAAATACTGTATGATTCCACTTATGAGATATTTAGAGCTAAGTCAAATTCACAGAGACAGAATGCAGAATGGTTGCCAGCTAGTGGGAAGAGTGAATGGAGAATTGTTATTTTATGAACACAGAGTTTCAGTTTTGCAAGACAAAAACGCTCTGGAGGTAGTTACACAACAATGTGAATGTACTTAACACTACTGACTGTGCACTTAAAAACAGTTAAGTTCATAAACTTTGTATTATATGTATTTTACCATAATCAAAAATAAAAAACAAAAACACTTCCCTCCCACTGGTATCTAGTCACCATTCAGTTCCCATATGCCCAACGTACTTTCATTATTTTATTTATCCTGGGTTTCCTTATGCATATATATATATATACAAACTAAGCAACCATACAGTTGCTTACTATTCTGTATTCTGTATTCAGTATTCTGTATCTTGCTATTTTCACTAAACAATGTATCTCGTGATTCTTTCATTTAAAACATAGAGAAGTTCATCTTTTAAGAGCAACATTTTAACAATAATTTTAGTATGTGCAGCAAAGCTTTAATGTAAAAGAACTTACCAAAATCTGGTGGACATTGTCCATTATAAGGGAACCAATTTCCTTTCACAGTGAAAGGACTTTTTCTGTTGCTTGTTGAACCAGTTCCTAGCTGTCCATTACCACCAAGTCCAAAAGAATAAATTCGTCCTGATGAAGGAACAAAAGCAGAAGTGTGCTGCCTAGAGTAAAATGATAGGAAACCTCAGACTTAATGTTACCTTTCAAACAATTTACATTCAGAAAAGCATAGCAAATATTACTGATATAATTTTTGTCTTCAAAAGTAAGTTAATAAAACCATTATAGTTTTAAAATTTTCTGTACGAAATATTTAATAGCCTTACTCTATACTGAATGAATTCTGTACCACACAGGCAGGCTGCATAAAGCATATTCCAGAAAATTCCCAAAAATGTCCAAATTTTAAAAGGCCCAGCTATATACTGGAATCCCTTACAATATATGATTTAGCACTAGAGGCAGCATCTATCTATGCTGTCCAAGAAAGCTCCCCAGCCTCCTTCCCTCTCTGTCAGGTTCTAGCTTAGAGCTCTGTGGTCTATGAGGGCCCACCACCTGGGCATCACTCAAAAGTTTTAAGATAAGAACTGGGCAGAAGATTGGTATATATAAAACTCATGATAAAACAATGTTTCCTTTCTTCAAAAAAACAATGTTTCCTTTCTTCAAAAGAAATTTATCCCTATGTATACACACTCAGACTCCTCTAGAGATTGCAGAGTGGAAGCAAACCTAAGAAATTACGGAACCGAAGCTAAAGAAAACCCACTAAGCAGTGAACCTATCCAACTCCTTCTGATGCTTCACTACTGTATGTTTAGGAATGGGTTAAAGGTGATTATCCAGCTCAGACCTTGTGTTCCTCAATCTCAGGTTTTATGGCTTCAATCAAGCCTGACAAATTCTTAAGTGTTATTTCTGCAAATACTGTCTCTCTCCCATTTATTCAATTCTCTTCTTGATAATATTAGACAAACGTTTTATCTTCCCAACATACCCAACAAGTCTTTTAACTTCTCTTTAATATCCATACCCCTTGTGAGTAATTTCCTTGGATCTATCTTTCAAGTCATTATTTTTCTCTTTAGCAGTGTGTCCAACCTGCTGTTTCAACTATCCACTGAATTTAAACTTTTAATGACTATGTTTTATACCATTTCTAGTTCTGTTTTTCAAAACAGCCAGCCAGTTACTTCATTTAAAACCCTTAATATATTGTGAAATATAATACATATACACCAACCCAGGACTACTCTGACAAGCCCCAAACCTACTTTAGGGCAGTCCTGTGGTTACAAATTCTGAGGGGAGATCCAAACCAGAAAATAGGCCAAGGCCAGAAAAGTCTCCTTAAACTAGCAAGAGAATATTGCATTGTGAACTCTGCCCATGAGGCAGCTTTACTGGGAGGAGATGGTTTCACAGGCCTCACTACTGCCTCTACCAGTTCTTAGGTCTCATCTTCTTTTCCAAACTCCTTTGCCATCTGTGATATACTGTTTATGAAAAGGACCCAAGGGGCTTCCCTGGTGGCACAGTGGTTGAGAGTCCGCCTGCCGATGCAGGGGACACGGGTTCGTGCCCCAGTCCGGGAAGATCCCACATACCGCGGAGCGGCTAGGCCCGTGAGCCATGGCCGCTGAGCCTGCACGTCCGGAGCCTGTGCTCCGCAATGGGAGAGGCCACAACAGTGAGAGGCCCGCGTACCCCCCGCCAAAACAAAAGAAAAAAAAAGGACCCGTTATTCTTTTCCCTGTACCCATTATCCTTACAATATGACTTCTGCAGGTGTTCCCACCAAGATGGTGAATCTATTTCTCCATGTCTTAAAACTGGTCTCTGACCTGTGGCTTGCTTTGAACAGAATGCAGCAGAAATGACAGTGCATCAGATCTGAGCCTATGCCTCACCAGTGGCTTTGCACTCTTTCCCTCTCTCTTTTGGAACTCTGCTCTACCATCATGAGAATAACCCAAGGTTAGCATTTGAAGGATGATATATAATCTGAAGCAGAGACAAGCTGACCCAGCTAAGGTCCCCACAGACTACCCAGCCCCTACCCAGATCATCGGCTGATTAACTGAGTTCAGCTAAGATGAGAATTGCCCAGGGACTTCTCTGGTGGCGCAGTGGTTAAGAAATCTGCCTGCCAATGCAGAGGACACGGGTTCGAGCCCTGGTCCGGGAAGATCCACACACTGCAGAGCAACTAAGCCCACGAGCCACAACTACTGAGCCCACGTGCCACAACTACTGAAGCCTGCACTCCTAGAGCCTGTGCTCTACAAGAGAAGCCACCACAACAAGAAGCTCACGCACCGCAACAAAGAGTAGTCCCCACTTGCCACAATTAGAGAAAGCCCACGCTCAGCAACAAAGGCCCAATGCAGCCAAAAAAAAAAAAAAAAAAAAAAGAACTGCCCCAGCTAAGCCCAGCCCAAATCACTGAACCACAGAGATATTAGCTAAATAGGTCATTGTATTAATAAGCCACTAAGTTTTGGGGTGATTTGTTTAGCAAAATAAGCTAATTAATACATTACCTAGATTGGGAAATTTTTTCAGAGCAGCTCCAGAGTCAGTTCAAACTAAAAGGTATGGTCTTCAGATTTTTGCCCTGCGGAATTCCCTTTACTTGCTGGCAAACTAATCTATATTATTTAAAAGGTGTTTTGGGTTTTTTGTTTGTTTGTTTTTGTTTTTTGCAGTACGCGGGCCTCTCACTGCTGTGGCCTCTCCCGCTGCGGAGCACAGGTCCGGACGCGCAGGCTCAGCGGCCATGGCCCACGGGCCCAGCCGCTCTGCGGTATGCAGGATCCTCCCAGACCGGGGCACGAACCCGCATGCCCTGCATTGGCAGGCGGACTCTCAACCACTGCGTCACCAGGGAAGCCCTAAAAGGTGTTTTGATTCAAAAGGGTTTTCAAGTTATCTAGTCTGTTACATTACTGGAAAACTAAGTAGAATCTAACAACCATCTTATCTCAGAGCCAGATGAGCCAAGGTTAATAAAAAAATTCTAAATCAAGGATACTCTTAACAAAATAAACATTAAATGGAATCCTAGCATATAAAACAGACAAACTGTTCTGGCTAAAGAAGGGTTTAACATTGCCCAGTCTGCCTCCTTCAGGAAGCAGCCGCTGTGACATTTCAAAGGAACACATCAACAGTTTAAAAACAACTGCTCAATACTAGTTTGTTAAATTCCTCCTCAAACTGGTCTACTGAAGCGGTGGTTCTTAACCCTGGCTGCATTTTGGAGTTGCCTAGGAGTGAGCCTAGGCAACAACACATATTACTAAAAACTCTCCAAAGGATTACAGCATGAAGTCAAGAGTTGAGAGCCACTGAACAAACATAACTATCTCAAGTCCTATATTTGATATAATAGCTCAAAAACAATATGACGCTATACTACTGGAATCTGAACCTTTTCCGTTTGGATTATCTCTTTAATGAGTTCACATTTCTGGTGTCCCTTGCCTGCTTCCTTCAGGAAGTTTCGGACAATTATTTAATAAGGAAATAATACATAGTTCTTACAGTACCAACTATCTGGAAATCAAACTGGTCATGATACCAACCGACATTCCCTCTGTAGATAATTTTTTACATCTCAATTAATATATAACTGAAATTCCACCCCCAGTCCAATAATTAAATAAATAAAATTACTGGAAAGAACTAAGTTTACAGAGCTAAGAATAACTATTAAAATCACGCACATTTTTACTGTTAAGAATTACAAAACTGGATAACGTTAAACAATCTGTGATATCTCACAAGAGACTGATTAAATATTTCACTGGAAAAAAATTACCTAAAAATATTTATAATCTTTTAATGAATTACTCATGAAGTGGATAAACAAGGAAATTTGAACTCTCTACACTTTAGTGAATATATATTCATGTATAACTTCAACAGTCTAATAAACAAGATTAAGATAGCAAGCATTTCTGCTCACTTATATGTTGAGCTTTTATTTACCTTTTATCCTGATTCATATATGAAAAAAGGAAAGGAAGGCTTTGTCAAATCATCCCCATAAATAATTTTTCAAATACATGGTCAAACACACAAAACTGGGCAAAGAAACAGGGTACCATGAACAAAACCTAGCAGAAAGAATAAACAATAGAAATAGATCCCTAAAGATTTCAGATATCAGAATTTTCAAACACAAGAATCTAGAATAATTATGTTTAATACTTGTTTAATGTCCAAGAAATAAAGGCCGAGGTTGAAAACTGACAGACAGCTGGAAAGATTAAAGAAAAAATTTGTTTCAGATTTTTAAAAAGAACCAGTATGAAACACCAGAACTGAAAAATCACAATAACCAAAATCAAGAATACAGGTTTAACAAAAAATATAGTATGAGAATTAATGAACTGAAATATAAATCATAAAAGTAATCAAGAAGGCAGCAAAGAGGGACAAAAATGTGGAAAGTAAGACTACAAGGTGGAGTGAGACGATTTAATACACATCCAATCAGAGTCCTATGAGGAAAGGAAAAGTTGTATCTAAAGAGAGATTATTCCACAGATTCAAGAAGTCCAGTAAGAAAATCCATACCTTGACAAATGAAAGCAAAACTGAAGAGAGAGAGAAAAGAGACAAATTACCTTCAAAGGAGCAACATACCAGCAGCCGACTTCTCAGAAGAACTGAAGCCAAAAGACAGTAGAACATTATCTTAAGTGCTGTAAGCAAATGCCAAGCTAGAATTCTATAACCAACAACATCATTCATGAACGAAGGTGCAATACAGACATTTTTAGATACACAAAAGAGTCTGCCACCTGCAAATCTACTTAAAGAAAATTCCAAAGGGTGGCTGATAAAAGGAAAATGAAACTAATTGTAAAAACTAAAGAGAAAAAAAATGGTAGTAAATGTATGTAGAGCCATTTCTAAATGTACACTGACTATATGAAGCAATATTCTTCTGGGGTTTAAAAATATAGAGAGAGGGCTTCCCTGGTGGCGCAGTGGTTGAGAGTCCGCCTGCCGATGCAGGGAACACGGGTTCGTGCCCCGGTCCGGGAAGATCCCACATACCGCGGAGCGGCTGGGCCCGTGAGTCATGGCCGCTGAGCCTGCGCGTCCGGAGCCTGTGCACTGCACTGGGAGACCCCACAACAGTGAG